GAGTACCAACATAACGCCACAAAAGAATCGAAAATCGAATATACGTAACCCGCGGAAATTCAAAATTCGCGATACTTTTTGAACAGACTTCGTATATGCCGTTATTTAGGATAATCCCATACTTCCAGAAATTTTAAAATTTCTGAACGAAGAACTGATTACAAAAACGGAACAAATTTTGATATTAACCCTTTGCACTCGAGGCCTTTTTCGTTCGCGCGAACCAGAAACTCGAGACGATTTCAACTAAATTAGGGAAGCATTTTACAGGTACTTAAAATCATTTATACTCAAACAAACGTATACAAATAATAAAATTTCACCAATTCATTTATTTTTATATTGAATACAACAAAATTTGGTAAATATTACACTCTGTAATTAGTTTTCGTGTGATATTTCGTAAAACAATGCCCAAGATGCATCCTAGGTTTATCTGGACACGTATCACAATAATATGTTACTTCCCGTCTACCGCCAAGCGTGTTACGGTTAAAGCAAACCTTGCAGTCCCTTTTTGGCCCTTTTGGTACTATGTGAAGCTTCCCATTTAGTCGGATTTCATCGGTATGCGACGTCGACGCTTGCTCACGATGCTGGCGATATGATCCTCTCAATTGCTCGACAAGTGTAATCCACAAAAATACTTCAGATAGAAACATCTTATCGCACATCGTAAATAAACAGATTGAGTTACAAAACACCGTAGCGCCGTAGCAGCGCATTTTGACTGGACGCAGAAAACAATACGGGCGCCGTAGCAGCGCCGCTCGAGTTAACGCTTCAAATCGGCCGGGCGCCGTGTCGGCGCCGCTCGAGTGCAAAGGGTTAACTAAGTAGTTGCTAATATCAAATATTTTTCTTTCAGCATATAAATTAATTAACACGAAAACAAATTTTCATTTGTGATCTTGCATAAAATTATTAATCGGAATATACACATAAAATTTGAGCGAAATGCAATTCTGCGTATGCGAATAATTAATCATGATGTGCATTTATAAGAGATGCCTCAAATGTATGATAAAATCATTTCGTAGAGGTAACTAATGTGTGATAGCGAATCATCATATATATCTTCCATAATCGTTCTATCGATTCAGCGGCTTCAATAGCACAGAAAGTTGTAGCGATATTTTCTGTCGGCTGCCTACTAAGGAACCTTAATTTATTCGGGTTAAAAATAAGGAGATAGAGAGAGCATGTACATGCGAGAAAGAAAGAAAGAGGGGGAGGGAGGGAGAGAGAGAAAAAGAGAGAGAGAGAGAGATCGCACGTATCCATAAGCGCAATGCCAAGGTCGGGCGTAAGTGTCTCTCTCTCTCTCTCTCTCTCTCTCTCTCTCTCTTATAAATGGATCGATTTGTCCCGAAGCTCCGATCCTACATTCGTTCGCTATCGTCACGCTGCATGGCTCGGCAATTTCATCGGAATACGTGGAAAATTTCAAGTGCCCCGATACAACATGCTGGACGTGGCCTCATTGTCCTCTCGAGAGACGTGACTAGTTAATTCCACGTCTCCGTTACGTGCGATCTACGATCGCCGGAAACGTAAATTTTAGAGAAAACCAAACTCTCTACGCAGTGAAAAATTTTGTGTTAAATTTAACACATCCCGTATGTTCCAAATAATCCACACAAATTTTCGTATTAATTTAACAAGGTGAATATGTTGAGAAATAATACATAAAAAAGTAATACATAAAAAAATAATAAATATTACGTCAAAAATTAACACAAAATTAATATTCATAATATATTAATCGTCACTAAAGTATAAAACGTGGTATTTTAATACTTACAAGTGTTATTTTGACATTTACACATGTTGAATATCGACTTAACACAAAATATTGATGTAATATAAACGTAACATGTTAAATCAACATACAGGTATGTTAAAAATTTAACACCAAAATTTTAACAAAGGTCAATTTTAACATAAAATGTACAAAATGTTTTTTACCGTAGACTACTGTGTTGTGTAGAAAGACGAAAGAAGGAAAGCAGAAACGTCAAGCTCTCTGTTGAATGTTTTCCGGAATTCGTTCGCAGTTAATAAAACGAGTCGACAAATGGGCTGAGAGGGCAGCGCTCACCTCTGATGTCCGTCGACGGTTCGCTCCTAGAGAGTTCGTGCTCGTTGCCGTGATGCGATGGCGTCTTCGAAGGGCTCTTGAATGGTGGTGCCGCCGCCGCATTGTTGTCATTCTTGCCCGGGGTGGTACCCGAATCCTGATGGGGAAAGTGGAAGGCCGTGGAATTGGGCCAAGATGCCGGCGGTGGACTGCGCACCAGGTGCTCGTGTACCTGCGCGAGCGTCAGAGGATCCGCGTCGCCCAATTCCTGAAAGCACACGTAGTGACTCTCTCGAGAAGACTGTACCCACGAGAACGCCCGTTTTCGTTTACTTCAATCAATGTTCTTGAGTTTTACGCGATGTTTATTACACGCACACGTGAATTTATCAATTCGATTTGCAATTCTTCGAAGGAAGAATTGGATTTACATATATTATATATAATATTCCCATATTATATAATATTTCCAAACTCTGGATTTACATATATATAATATTTCCATATTATACAATATTTCCAAACTCTGCCGAGAGTGTGTTGGAAGAAATTAATTCCGTCTTTTTCTTTTCTTTTTTTCTTTGGAATTCTTTTCAACACAGCCAGAAAAGAAAAAGATCGAGAACGGATCTTCTATGCTCTTTTTCTTTCTTATATTACACCCGAAAATTTGATCTGAGTCTTACCTGCGACATCAGAATCGCATCGTCAGACTCGGACTCCTCGATCGATTCCACGAGGCTCTCGCGACTCGCTAGCACCTGAATAATTAGAGAAAATTTGCACAATCGCATCGATATATTGCGAAGCGACACGTAGAACCCGTATGTTAGAGCCGTCGCCAAGCACAGAAAACGCATTATATTGTATTAACGATTCGCTTGTCGTTTCTACAAGCGAGAAGGTCGAGCGACTAGAGACTAAAACTTAGAAACAAAATTAAACAGCACAACAGCTTTCTAATCACAAAATTCGGCCGAAGAAAAAGTTCTTCAAGAACCCAAACTTTGAGAAATCAAAGTTACAAAGATATACAAGGATCACGAAGATATTTCAAAAATAAAAAACGTCAAACAGAGAGGTGAGATAATATAAAATTATAAAAAACACATGTATAGAAAAAAAATGTTAAATTCAAGTAAATAATTATTCCAATATTCAGCAAATTGTTATTTAGATTAAACAAATTTTGTTTGGGCTGGATAAATATTTTATTTGAACAATTTATTTGGAAAATATTTTACTTGGATCAAGTAGGTATTACTTAAATAAATATTAAATTTTGTTCTATGTGTGTACATTTCCGTGATTCTAATTTACAAAATGTTGCAACAAAGAGTTTTGTATTAAATCGACATTCTGTAAAAAAAATAGTTAAAAATTTATCTGTAAGATATAATGTTTATTATTTTTATTAAAATAAAAATAAGGTTTATTTCTGTAAAATGAACTGTATATCCCCCACAAGTAAATTTTTAAATATTCTTTCTCAGTGTAGAGTTCAACGAATCATTCAGAAGTTTCGTCACGCGAGAGATTGAATAATTTCTAAAGAACTGCGACATCGGGGAATAACGCAAAATAATTGTGAAATCGAACCTGCAGGAAGGGATTATCCTGACGACTGAGCCGAAGTGCTTCCATGTCCTGATCGATGTTACGCGTTCTGCCGGGCGTCAGGGTCAAAATGGAGTGCGAGGGTGACGGCTGACAGGCAACGACAACGTCCACCGCCGTCACGCTCAATGTCGACGGAATTCGCGACATAGTGTTATCATTCTCGAAGCCGTTCCGGCGACAAGCAGTAGTGATGACCGCTGCAAGTGAGAGACAAATGTCGCAGCTATCACTAATCGCAGTTACCCGTCGCAATCACGAAATCGAATACGTGTCGAGAGCGTCGTGAATCTCTCTCCGAAATTACAATCGGAGGACGACCGACTCACCGGGAGTTTCCACCCTGGGCGCGCGCTCCATCTCTTCGTCCTCGTTAATCTTCATCCCTAACGCCAGCTTTCTTGACTTGAACAGGTTCGTAAAGAAAGCCGCGCCTTTACGCTTCACCCGGTCATACCTGTGCGCGCTCTCGGACGACACGTGTATCATAATTTGTCTGAAAATATTGTAAACAGTGAGTAATACATGAAACAACACGTGGGAAACCGCTACCGTGCGCTAAACATCCTCGGACGACACGTGTATTATAACTCGTCCGGCGGTAAAACACACGGCGGGGTCTCTCCTGTCTCATCTGCACAAGCGATTGTACAATTGTACCTTGTGCAATTATAAATACCTTATAGTTCCGCATGTACGCGTAGCGAAATTGTGCGAAAAACAGGTTTTCACCAAAATAAACAAGTCCGCTTCACTCGACTCAGTGAATTCGAGTATATCACTTATTATTATTGCTATATTACTTATTATTATTACCGAACCACATTTTCCGACCAATGCGAGAAGTGACGCTAAAATTAGTCGCATGCGAGATCGCCGAAATGAAAGGTTGATTTACACATTCGTGCGGCAATTAGCGCATTTCGTTCATGGAGCGCTCGTACGACTGCAGAAAACGATATGAGACAAAATAATAAATCTGTACTTTTTGGCTGAATTATTGAGAGAAAAATATTTGGTATTTGTAACCTTATAATCATTATAGTGAAAGAATTATAGTCGGGAGAAGAGCATTTATCTAATAAGAGTTATTACAACGTCAATGATAATAATTTCTTATATCTCAAGTAGAACACTGAATTCTCGAAATATTCCTGAAGTTTTCTTCTTCCCCGAGTTGTAATTCTCCCTAGGAATTCATAGAAAAATGTTACAAGAATGATCCGGAAAGTTACATGTATCATGATTGCAATCCCTGAGAAGTTGTTAAAATATTCGTATAAAATTATTTCATATCAACAAATGTATAGTTTATGAATTCAAGAAGAATAGTGTTTATGAACAAAAAGAGAAATATAAAATACCCAATAAACATCAACTCTAAAAGTAACGTTACATCAATATTATAATTTCCCGCTCAACAATATAATTATTACATACATGTGTCATATGTAACAATTTATATTGTTAGGTAAAAAATTATAATACTGATGTAACATTACTGTGTTAGCTGCAGTTTGGTGGACAATAGTTCCCTTCCAAAATAAATCAAAATATTAAAAATATATTCAGCTTTCAACTACATAAAAGAAGAAAGAAATCCAAAATTGCACATATAGAAGAAAAAAGAATTATATTATACGCGGATATTTTTAGGTTATAAAGTGGCAATTTGTAGAATTAACTCAGTTCAATTGTATTCTCAATAAAACGTCAATTGTGTTGCTTTTCTTTTTATTTTATCGAGATATCATTTCTTTGCGAAGAAAATTCCAATTATGGTAATGCACACAGAAAACACTGAAGTAACACGAGCATCTGCTGAATGCAGCCACCGAAACTAATTATAACAAACAAAACACTCGTAATTCTTCACGAATTCTCAGAGTATTTCAAATAATGAGTCTCCCAAAGTATTCATTATAGTGAACTTTTATAAGGAACATGAATTTAATTGTGGTTTATTCTTTAAGAATTCTTCAAATATTCATTTTTCCGCAATTCTATAAGTATTAATTAAAATGAATTCTCTATAAACTTTTATCAAACCGCGTGCCACCTGGATATATATATTGCTATTATTATTTTTGCAGTTAAAACCATAAAAAGGATATATAGTCGAGGCCGAAAATAACTGATTCCTCTCGGTTAGGGTGCATTTTTTGCCTTTAGAGTAAAACGAGTGTATAATCCAACATTGAAGAGAAGAAGAATGAGGTTCCAGAAATGCAGGACTAGTTCAGCCAAAAAGGGCCGGCCTAATATCGCGAATTATAACCTGTTAATACCATGTGTATATCGAGTAACGCATAATCAAAATTTTGAAGGAGGATTTCAAGGATCGTGAAAGATCCGTGTCGACTTACTCAAGCGCGGTCTCTCGCCTTCGGCTCTCCTCAATCGCCACGGTTAAGCATCATCCCCATAGCAGGGCATGAAATTCATAATTTCGTCAAGATAATATCGATCTCATGTTCGTTCGGGAAACGACGAGCGGAAGACGACGATGCCGCTGTAAACAACGGACGCGGCGCAACACGGAAAGCACAGCGGCTGCCGGGGGGCTGCAGAGTTTTCAGAAGGATCCCCCTCGATTTTGACGAACAACAACTTCGGGCTCACGCCGTGGCGGCGTATACTGCCAACTGCAGTCGCAGAAGGGTGTGCACCTGCCTCTTGCAAGGAGCTCGCGCAGCTGCAGCTGTCAGCGGATGCACGGGGCTTGCGCGCGCGAAGGGGTGGAAAGGTTGGTGGGTGAACGGAGGTAACCGATGGGGTGGGTGACGGAAAAGACGACGAAATCCTCAGCGAGCGAAACGAAGTGTCGTGTTATTCCTCCCTCTCTCTCCTTTCTTTCTTTCTTCCTCGCTCGATAGACACCCTCATGACCCATACTTCATATTTGCTCGACTCACGAGATCGAACTGTTCAGGGGAGAAAGGAAGAAGAAGGCACCGGCCGAGATGTCGTAAGTTCGAATTATCGAGCCGAGAGACGAAATTCACGAATTTCCGAACCCTTTCATCTCGACGTTTGCGAAAGGCTGATTCGCGCGAAGAGATTCCGGGAGAGTGCGGAATTTTCGATCTCGATCGATGAATTTGCCGGAGAAATTTTTGTCGCGACAGTTTCTCGCGAGACGACAATTACGGGGATGATTGGGACGAAATTCGCGATACATCGGATAAGTCGGTAATCGACGTCCGAAGACGAAAGACCGTGTCTCGCAAGTTGATCTTTGAGGCAACACGTTATGTATATCGGGTGCTTCAGGAAGACGGAGTATTTTTCTAGAAGTGCGCCACGTCGTACTCGCACGATCGATCGCCACGAGAGACTGCGATATACAAGGTGGCTATAACGTTGTTGGTGCCAAGCGTAATAAATTAAACGCACTGTGCTTGCATAAATCATAAAGCATCGTAAGTGCTGTGACGCGTGTAACTCCGCCCTACCCGATAAAAAATTTTTCATATTCCCAGATGGACAGAAATACTGGACATAGTGTACAAACATTTAATATGTGTTTTGTGGTGTCATTGCAGCAGCACCACACAATAAAAATATGCTTGTTTTAAGAAATATTCATTTATTACGCCATAATTTTAATAATAAAGAAATCGACTTATTACTGCAATAATTCCAGACTAATTGCAATCTTTCTTAAGAAGCAATATTTATGGAATCAAAATATCGTCTGACAAAATACGAGGACGCATTTTAACATACTTATATCATAACACTAGTCATGATGCAGATAATATACCAATATATGTCTATCTGGGTATAATTTTATTATATATAGATATGGAATTATATAAAAATATAGAAAATTATGTATAATTCCTTATATGATTATATATAATTTAACACGACTCTATAATTATGTATGAACTCTATAATTATGTATAAAAACAGCAAAGTGACGTTAAATGATATTAATGACGTCTTAATGGTATCTTCAACGTTAATAAATCATTAAGACACAATTAGATGTTATCCTGCTACCTGGAGTACTGCCTAATTCGTTTAAATTAGTCGTGTAAAATTATATATAATCATATAAGGAATTGTATATAAATAATTTTATATATTTTTATATATTTTTAAATAGGCATATAATTATATATGGGACATTTTTTTTACCAGGTATTACATCGGATCTACCTGATCGGTCGTGTTTCCCCTAAACCGTGTAAAAATTTAACAAGTATCGAGTACATTTACTTTTTACGAAAATCAAAATACTTGCAATTATTGCAACTTCAATCACGTGTAAATTATGCACGAAGGAAACAGTCTCTCTCTCTCTCTCTCTCTCTCTCTCTTTATCTCGCTACCAAGTGAAAACTTTAATCGGGCGAGCAAGCTGACGCTTCTTCGACAGAAATTAAGCCTACTCATTACATTAAGCCAGCATCCGATAAGATAGCGATACTCATTTACTCTCGCTTGTCCCTCATCAGAACAGTACTGATTTTACATCGTTACAATTCCGCGACCACGTTGATCTCCAATTCAGAAACGCTCAATTGAAGTCCCATCTGGACAAAAATCTCAAAACCGGAGAAGCACGCGGCCGACTAACCTGATTAGAGCTCAAGTTACAAAACATCTGTATATACCATACATCAACATATAATATTGGGACGTGGAATCGAAACCGCGTTGATAGATGTAAAAAAAGATAAGAAGATGTGTGAATAGTAGCGATTCGTAGATCGGAGCACTTAAAAATTTCACTAACACGAAATGAATTGATTTGTGTTTGATACACTTCTTTTACATAACAAACAAGTAGAAAGAAAAACAAATAGAAATAAGTATTTAGTAACTACATATTACGTATATATATATATATATTAATAATAATTTTAATTTTACGCGACGTTTATGTACAGCGTTACTCGTTTGTAGATTGTAGATAACACGTTAAAGGATGTTCTTTTCAACTTGTAAGAATAGGTTTATTCGTTTTAGCTGAACCAGTGTTGCATTGAAACACCGTTTCTTTTTTCTTCACCGTTACACAGTAAAAAACATTATGCATTTATGTTAAAATCGACCCTTGTTAAAATTTTTGTGTTAAATTGTTAACATACCCATGTGTTAATTCAACATATTGTGTTTATGTTATCTCAATATTTTGTGTTGAGCCGATATTCAACATACGTAAGTGTTAAAATAATATATTTTATATTTCAGTATCGATTAACATATTATGAATATTAATTTTGTATTAATTTTTGGTAATATTTGTGTTACTTTTCAACATACACAATATACAGCAACATACAATACTTTATGTTAAACACAAAAATTTACGTGAACCATTTGAAATATGTGAAATGTGTTCAATTTAACATAAACTTTTTTACTGTATAGATTATATACTTATTTCACGTTAAAGGTAAAAGATGCAATCCAGTTCGGCTATCTATATAGCACAAATATTCAAAAGATATTCTAGGAATGTCCCAGAGATATTTGAATATTCGTGAGACATTCCTAGGATATCTATAGAGCACTTGTGCTATATAATTAAAACGAACAAACCTACGGTATTGTCCTCTCTCCCCTCTTCTCGTTAGACAAAATTCAACCAATGAGAAAAGAATAGAAAGAAAGATCCATGCCCATAAATTTGCTTCTCTCTAGACCCGTCAATATGAAAGATCAAAGAAATGTTGTCGCATGCTTCGTCCAGCACTACATGTCGATGGTGCACAGGTTCGTCGCGATGATCCTGTCGTCCGTTCGCACTTTTGTAATTCGGCGGACCGCAACTCCAGGTTTTTACGTAACTAACTAAACTAACAAAACCACTCGGCTCTTCGCCGAGAAAATTTAGTCGCCACTTAACGCCACTCGGCACCCGATCGGCAATCACCACTCGCAGCGACGAGCCAAGTTCTCGATCGACCAGCTACACTCCCGGTGTATCCTCGGCACAAGATAGCTGATCCCGTCCAATTACCTGAAGACTCGCGCCGCCGGTGCATCTTCGTCCGCGACACCGAACGGGTTGCAACGCGTCGCGTCGCGCCGCCTTCGCCGGACGATGCGTCGCGACAACGCCAACAACAGTAGGGTGCGGCGCGCAACCCAGACGAGAGGGTGTCCCGACGACGCCGGCGGCCCAACGCGAAAAATCAAAGGAAGCCGGCTGGCCAGCTCATCGCTAATGCGCGGGCGCGCGCGTATCGCCGGCGCAAACGCGCACCCCTCGCCTTTGAATTCACAGCCGGGGTAGCCGAGATATCGGGCGTATCTCTATAAGAAAAAAATGAGTGCTCCGCATAGTCGATTTAAGAACGGATGTTGCCAAGCGATGTTGTCGATCTTGCGGTTAATACGTTGATCGCTATGCCGACTTTTACCAATTAAGATTCCGGAGTAGTCGCCATGAACTTTTTTAATGACGTCAGAAGCAAGAAAACGCACACCGAGATTTTTGGCGTTATATTTTCAAATAAAAAGATATATCCACAAGATGATATTTGCGATCGATTCGGCACACTCGTAAAATTAGACAAATACCTTTCTTTTATAGGAAAAAACTAGTCTTAAATCAAGAATAGATATTCTCGATATAAGCAAGAATATTATAATCTTCTTAGAAGATTTTTAGTCTTGAATTGAATTCAAGTAATTAATCAAGTAATAATATTTGCATCAGTATAAATTCAATTAAATCAAGACTAAAAGTCTCTTAAAAAGATTATGATATGCTTGCTTATATATGAGAATATCTATTCTTGATTTTCCATTTAATTTTTTTTCCGTGTACTCGGACAATAAACAAATAGCCACAAATTAATTTGACACGAAACCTTCTTTCCCAACCTCTTTTCTCATTATTTTGTCAATGTTAATTTTACGACTACTTATTGATTGTTCGAATAAAAGAAAAGTTTATGTCTAATTTCACAATTTTGCTGAATCGGTCACAAATGTCATTTTGTGAATATACTTTTTTATTTGAAAGTATAGCGCAAAAAATCTTAGCATGCGTTTTCTCGCTCCTAACGTCATTAAACAAAGACAGATATAGCGATTACCTAGAAGTCTTAACATTAGAACCGCGGCTGTCATTTTTATTCACTTATAGATTTTTTCCCATTTCTTTGGATTTTCTCATCATTATAGATAAGCTTCTTTATCATAAAGCAATTAAGGAAGTTCAAACATTTGACTAAATATAAATTTGTAATATACAGTTTCTTAAACCGTTCTCGGTCTCCGTAGTGCAGGTAGAACTGGTGAAACTGAGCAATAAAGTCATGTATCATTTTGCAAAATTCGCAATAGTTAATGAAGAATGAATTATTTTGTCTGAGCTAATGAACGCACCGGAAAGGATAAACCGGACACTGTACAAAGAAAAATGGTATATTTCTGAAGATCTCTTAGCAACGATAGATATTAACTGATAGCGGGAGGCGTGTTTCCTTTCGGTGCACAGTCCTATGTCACATGCCGCTCGTTGCTTGTTTCGTTACATTGCCTTTAGAAATCAGTTGATGATTATCGTTGTTACGAAATCTTCAGAAGTAAGCCATCTTTTTTAAATACTGTCCGGTCTATCTCTTTTCCGTTCGTTCATTAGCTTAGACAAAATAATTAATTAATTCCTTACTAATTACTACTGCGAATTTTGCAAAATGATACATAACTTTTCTATTCAACTTCATCCATTCTACCTGCAAACTGCGGAAACCGAGAATGGTTTGGACATCCTGTATACAAGATACAAAAGTTAATCGAACTAATAGTGCAATAGTAACAAAAATTTCAATAATTTTTACTGTATCGTTTCCGAGATATTTGGTTATAAATTTGTACGTGTGCAAGCGTAGAAACCTCATAAAACACTATTTTTTTTTTTAATTTGACATATTTGTGTATAAGATAGAGATTCAAAAAACTATTGTAATATTAAAGACTAATATATAGATATTATAGACAAATTTCAGAATTATTAACCTTTTCGTCTTAAAAATATAGTAGTGGAATGTTTATAATTTATAATAATATTCAAGATATATACACATGTAAGCAATATATTTAAATATTCATATACTTCTTTCTATTATCTATGCATCTTTATTAGATCAACTGATGCATAAANCACACACACACATACACACACATACATATACGAGGGCAGTCCGATAAGTACTTAGCCTACACAAGAAAAACGAAAATTTTGGAAAAGTGGCGATTTATTTCTAAACATAGTCTCCTTTTAGCTCGATACACTTGACCCAGCGATGTTCCAATTTCTTTAACCCATCTGAAAAATACGTTTTCTCGAAGTCTGCAAAGGCCTCCGTGGCGGCGATGACCTCCTCATTCGAC